TTAATCAATTCTCCAAGGGGTATTTTATCAATTAAGTTTACAACTTATTCTTTTGATTGTTTTCTTACATTATTGTTTTAATTCACTAAAAGAAAAAGACCAAAAAAACTTTTCTACTTCCTTTTTGATTTCATTGGAATTTAATTGAGTTTTAAAATCCCCCAATTTTATCTTTTTCGTATAGTTTTGTCACTTAGATTGCATAGGAACAAGTCAGACTCCTCAAAGTGAACATGACCCGGATCGTGCCTCTATAGTGCATTCCTACCCGAAACTAATTGTCTTTTTAGAGCCTATAACGACTAAGGCTTCATTAATAGTGAAAATTATCGATGACCTTATGGATAAATTCATTTATCGATAACTCTATCGATAAATATACTAATCGAATACCTTATATCACACCTTACTATTATATTGACTTAGGTTCCTTTCAAAACCATTTTAGACCACATTAGATGGTCTTAGGCTCACTTTTTACCACAAAAATGCTAAATTTCGGATTTTACTATTCATCGGGTAAAAATCCAGTTTTTTTGGCCCAACTTCAAAAATTCATAACTTATTCCACAAAAATCCAATTAGGGTGGTTCAAAATTTTATTTAAATCTCTTTAAGTATTATTTCAAGGAAAAATAATCTCAAGATCCAATTATTTATGAAAACACGTCAGGTTTTTGTGAAATACCGCACTGTCCATTGCCAAAATTTCTTTTTCCTAGATTCTAACTTTTAACTTTGAAAAATCATTAAAAATCGTATACTTGGCCATTTTTAACATATGAGATATCAATTTGAATCTTAGGACGTTATATTTCATAATGCCAAATTTCATGATTAAACGCATTTGGGACCATAATCAAAAAGTCACGTGAACCAGACAAGGTCAGTGTGCTTACAGCACTATTAGTATAATATGTACATAACCAAAATGAGTTCACGAATTTTTGTGGCTCAACCCCACAAATTAGCCTTCAATCTGTAGCTTTCCCTTGGAGGATTCAGGCCCAAAAATGTTTTATTTCATTTGTGGAATGAGATTTTATAGAAATCCCAATAGCAAATTAACCAACTATAACACCAACAAGTATCATCAATATGCACAATTATATTAACTACTATTGGTGAACTAGCATGCTTATCATTTGGTGAACTCAAACATACAAAGGCCAAAGCAAGAAGTACAAAGAGCAGCCACATTATAATCAAGAAAGTCTAACCACATAATAGCAATTAATCATGCAATAATCAATAATGCTAAGTTAGTATTAGTAACTAGGTTTAACTTGCTACCTTGCTACAAAAGCTTTAGCTTTCTTTCCTTCTCCTCTTTTCCTTCACAAATATCAAACCCTAACAATGCAATCCATCAAAAAGGGCAGCAAGAATCATTAACCAACCAAGAGAAAGCAAGAACATAAATAAAAAATGATTCTTGATCCATAAAGCTCCCTCCTTTGTTCACCATTTTTGGACTTATTTCTCTTTAACCTTAAAAATCACTTCTTGACTCATTCCTACATGGTTTTTGATGTAGATTCCAAATATGTGCTTAGATCTAGAAAAATAAAATTGCTTCTTTCAACTACCCTTTGACCGAACCAAAGAGGGTTTTGACCCAAAATTTTCAACTTTGTTTTAATGCTTCCAACACTTGTTCCTTTTGGTTTACCCTACACCATTTCTTATTTTAAGCATCATGGAAGCCTTAAAACATTGAAAAACTCATCCTAGGGTTCAGTCAATAGCTTGGCCGAAAATAATACTCAAACAAATAACCATGAAAAATGGTTTAAAACAACTTATAATCACTTGCCAACACTAGGAACTAGCTTGTGTTGTTGTATCTTAACAAGTGTGATGAACAAAACTTCCTTCCACTCAAGATAAACCAGTTCGGCCAGCCTTTAAAGGAGGGAAGAACAGATTTTTCAACCACAAAAAGGGAAGAAAAGAAAGCAAGAACACATCTAGAACCATGAACTCGCCTTAGATCTTTGATTGTATGACCAAAGGTGCTTGCTTTCCCTTGCTTTTCTCTCAAAACTCTCTCTTTTCTCTCCCTTTCCTCTCTTGCACGAAATGGATCTGAATTAGGGGGAGGAATGGCTTTCTCTTCAAGCCAAAATATCCCAACTACCATCCTTTAATGCTATGCCATGTGTCAAGTGCTTACTTAATCTTTCATAATCAACAAAATCCAAAAGAAATTAATTACCAAAGTCAAAATCCTCTCCATTTGAGGAGTGACACTTGGCAAGTCCAAATCCTCTCCATCAAGAGCTTGACACATGGCTCAATGTGATCCATTTGATTTGCAAGACACTAGTCTTGCTTTATCAGTATACTTTGGCTCTGAGTTTAACTTCTTTTCTACAATTACAGTAGTTTGGCCTCTCTAATTATTTTCTGTCAGATCCTTAATTTATTTTCCTCATTTTTATCTTCCCAAATTGCCCTCTTTGCCTCAAAATTAATTTCCTAATAATTAAATAAAAAGAAAAATTAATTTCCTTCTCTTTAGGGATTTTTTCACTTTTCACGAGTATTTGGAAAAATCTTGGATACTTGAGGGTCTTCATTTAATTCCATAATCTCATAGGAATTTTCTTAGAATTTTATTCCTCTTAAAATATTTATTTGGAATTTTCCAAATAGAATCCCTTAATTTGCCTAAATCACCCTTTAAATTCTCTTATAATTTCTCTAAGGGTAATTTGGTCATAAAACCAACTTTATAATTTCATATAACCCTCAAGGGATATTATCCTCATTTTTTCTTAATTTTTCAAGACTTGGAAATATTTCTCCATAATTACTTTTGACCAATTTTTCTTAATTAGTCAAATTTCCATAATTGGCTTGGAAAATCATAATAATTATTTTCCACCAAAATTCTTCTACTTCTCCTTATCATTTTTAATCCTCAATAATTTGAGAATATTTCTTATCTCTAATCACTATAATGCTGGATGTGACACCTTATCGATAAAAGTCACTTTTTTTGTGGTCTCTCACTATCTCTATCTAATATTTTTAAGAGTCTTTTCTAAAAACTTTTCAATAAACATAATTGGCGATAACCTTTCTGATAAAATTGTTTAAAATAGATTTAAAAATCTACCTTAATTATTGATAACTTTTTTGATAAAGTTATCGATAACGTCCTCTATAAGGATTAGTTATTTTGTCTGAAATTGTTTCTCATGCTATTTTCAGGAAACTATGATATTATTTTATCTTTAAGCTTTTCTCAGCCTTTATTGTTTATCTTATCTTTTTTATTCAAAGCAAAAATGTCCCCTGACTCAGATGAGATTCAAATTGCAAATCTTTTTGCTTAGCTTTTGAAGAATCCTCATGATAAACCACTTTGTTTTATCCTTCACTCTTTATCGATAACCTTTTCCATAAACACCTTGATTGATATTGACTTTGATAAATGAGTTTTCTTTTTGAATCCTCACTTTCAGATTAATTGATGACCTTATCGATAAAGCTATTAATCGATAAGTTCTTTGACGAAATAATTCCTTGATTCTCTGTCTCTAATCTGTGAATTTCAATTCTTAAGATAAATTCAAGGCTGATCATTTCTTTATTTAATTATTTGTATTCTCTAATGAATTAACTTACAACATTTATTACAGAGATATTTCTATGGGTTACGGGGTTCAACAAAAAATTATTGTAGGCTTAAGCTACCTATCCGAAACGCATTAAACATGAAACAACCATTGCAACTACCAATCTATGCAAACGCTACTTCAATGGATACAAGCTCTCGTGTCTAACAGATAATTGAGATTCTCTAAGTATAAAACGCGAAGAGTATTGAATGAAGCGGTGAATAAACTTGAGCTACCATCTATTATATTAATTCCTTGCATTTAATACTTTGTTTCTTAAGTCTGAGCTTCAGAGTTTGTTTTATACACACTTTTAAAGAGAGTTTGTAAAAATCCTTTTACTCAATTAGCAAGTGACTCAAGTGTCAGACTCCTGAGGGGATTGTATCTTTACAGACAGTAAGGGGGAGTGATTGAGAGAATTCAATTACGATACTGTGGCGCCAAAAGCCCGTTGAATCTTGTAGTTTAGTGAAGAAACTCAGAGGTGTTCTGAGAACTACACGTAGGTCAAATGGTTGAGACCGAGCCAGTATAAAATCCTGCGTGTTTTCTTCTCTGACTCTCCTTCAGTGAAATCTCTATAAGAATTTTTAAGAGCACAATTTTTTTATCATCCAATTCACCCCCCCTCTTGGGTGAAACTGCTACACTAACATGATATTGTTCATCTGCTTCTTCAATTGTTCTCAACTAGCTCCTAGTAGTAGAGTAGAAACATGTAACACCAACGTGACAAACTTATAAAGAGAAAATAATTCACCACCTGCAATTTTACCAGCTTCCACTCCCAAGATAATTATCAGGTTTCAAGTATTAAACGATAATAAAGAAATGAATGGCAATAGAGCAGGTAGCTCATTGTGCATTTTGAGTTTCCAAACACAACGGATGAGGGAATCTTCTCTCGTTCTAGCCATAACATATGACTGAACCTTTTAAGTATAAAGAACAAATTTTATTTCTTCTTATCTCAACTCTAAAAATTTCTGGCCAAAATAATATCATGTCACCAGGTTCTTTCTTTATATTTATTTTCATTTGCTTTTGTTAAAAGAGTAAAGTTACCAAATTGACGATATGCAATTAAGTTGATCAGTGAGGCAGTAATAGCCCAAGCTGATAATGGAATTCCTTCCTGCCCAGCAACTGTAATGAAACGTTCGTCATTAGCACTAAGCAGAGTTGATCATGTTCAATTTACGAGGTTTAGAATGTCATGAAAGAAAAAACTAATGCATATATCTTTTTTTGTTAAATAAGTAATTATTATCTGGAAAAGAAAAGTCACGCGAGATATGAAACCAGAGTTCGCTAATTTCAAACATCATATTGATGGGTCTCACTCCTAATGCAGCAAGTGTCTTGCTATGATCAGTGGAGGTGCCACATGCCATAAGGAAGTTAACATTTAGAACAGTGAGCTTCAAAAGGAAACTTTACATCTTGAAGAGCACCTTTCACGTTAAAAGGTCTAAATACAGAATGAAATGATACCAACAGTACATTTTGTCATGGCTTTATAAATTTAGGAATCTGTCAATATTAATTCATCAAGCATCTCAAATACATACAACAACTTTCTGTCTCTGCAGATTAGTCCAATCAGAAATTCCCACGAATCAGGCCTTGGTTGGAACCCCTTCTCCATCAATCCAAGCAGCGCCATAACAGCAGAATCAGTCATTCCAGCCTTGCAGAGATGCACTAGCAGTTCATTTGAAGTAGCATAGTGAGGTAGAAAACCCCTATCTAGCATTAGCCCTAATAATCTTATCGCCTCTTTCAGCTCACATTTTTGGGTTAAGAAGTTCAGCACAATCCTGTAGCTGGCTTTGTTCAGATAGACACCCTCATGAGGAAGTTCTTTTAGCATCTCAAGCGCCTCCCCAAACCTTCCTACTCTGCAAAGCCCTCCGAGTATCACATTAAAGGTTACAATGTCAGCTTTGCATTCATGCTCCTTCATTTCTTTAAGCAACTCTACAGCCTCATCAATCTGCCCACTCCTACATAAGAAATTGATCAAAATAGTATAGCTCACACTGTCAGGTTTCAAACCAAAGCTCTTCATCTCATCAAATACTTCCTTTGCCTCCTGCAATTTCCCCTCCTTACACAAGCCATTCAACAAGGTTGAGTAATTAATTATATTTGGACAGCATCCACTTTTTTTCATAAATTCAATTATGTTTCTTGCACGATCAGCTTTACCTCCAGAGCAAAATCCTTTAATTAGAACATTATAAGTTAGGGGATCAGGTAGGATTTGATCCCTTGATACCATTTCCTCGAAGAGTTCAAAAGCTTCTTTAAGTCTTCCATTTTGACAGAGGCCATCCATCAAGGTTGAGTACGTAATTAAATTAGGATAAGATATTTTAGAATTTCTCATTTCCTTGACAATTTCAAAGGCAGAGTCAAGATCTCCACTCTTGCAGTGGTACTTCACTAAGATATTAAATATGCAGATGTTTGGCTTATGAATCAGAGTCCTCTTGGCATGTAAGAGCAACTGTCGAGCCAAATCAATCTGGTTTGACTCCACCAGGAGATTTAGGCAAGTGCTGATGGCTTTAGGAGAGGGCCTTTCACGAACAATTGGTTGGATGGAGAAAAACATTTGGAGCACTTTTTCATGCAGAGAAAATTTTGAAAAATGCTTCATGAGGTTAATGAATATACCTTCATGAAATTTGCAAGTTTCATAAGTCATTTGATGTAGAACTTGATCAATAGCTTGAAATTTTTTGCATTGTGCAAGTTTTTGGAGAATTGTTGCATATGTAGCATTGTTATGGTTGAAGCCCTTTTGCTCTGCTACCATATTAAACATCTTGAAAGCATGTTGGGGATCTTTTTCTCGTTTCATAAAGTCGATGGCAGACTCGTGAGAGATATATTTGTGTTTCCTCCCAGTTTCTGTGCGACTGACGCCAAATTCAGGGGGAGGATCCAGTTTACGTGCAGCAGCTTTTGTAAATTGAAGGGGAGATATCCATGGCAGAGAAGATCTTGAAGATAGGAAGGAGGGCACATGCTTGTGGCTGCTAAAAGACATTCGGGAAAATTTCATTATATTTGACAATTTTGCAAAGATCCCTGTCAGTTCCAAGACATACATCAGTAATCAATAAACAAAACCCTCCCCCCAAAAAAAAAAACAAAAAAAAGCACGCACACAGGGTAAGCAATATCACTTAAAACGTAAGAACATCTTATGCTCCGAATGTCATAACAGAGATTACCCACAAGATGGATACTCAGAACTCCTCTTAAAAATGAAACTCTCACCTGTATGATCAATGAAGGACAACGGCAAAGACTTGTGTTGCTTTGTTGGATGCATTCAAACGTCTTCACAGATGCTTCAACAAAAATACAAAAGCATTTGCACTGCGATCCAAACCAACATGTAAGTGCTTGTTTAGACCTTCATTTTCAAGTCCTGAAACGCAGTTTACTCATCTGAAAACAAAACAAGACCTGGTAAAATTCAAACAGCATTCTTCATCAAAACCCACTTTAATGAAGAAGCAATCTACCTGGTGCTTTTGTGCTGAAGATATCCATTGAAAACATTAATTGTAAAATAAAGAATTTCAACTACAATCGTTGCCCTCAATCCTTTTCCATGTCTGCTTCTCCTCTTTGTTCCTGTTTGAGTTAACAATTCCAGTTCCAAAAGAGTGAATTCGGAAAGCGCCAATTACATTCACGAAAACCATAACATGCAAAAACAAGAAAGAAAAATAACCACGACACTGAGAAAGAAGAATTGAGGGATATTAACCATCAATTTTCACGGCTTCAAAAACAGATATCATACTTAAATGGCAAGTAATTTTGCTGCGAGTATATTATACTGGCTGCTGGAAGTCAGTCACTTGATTCCCTCCAGGCACACATAATTCTTGGTTCACCCAAAAACTAAGAGCAGAGAAGATGAAACCAACTTCTCCGCACACATTAAAAACTGTACATCATTTGAGTTCAAGATGTCAAAATTTAAGCAAAAAATAATAGAAAATGCACCCACTACTACATAAATGTGGAACTGTAGCACTTCATTTTTAAAAATCTGTAGTGTTTCCTAAGTGCTACAGAAGGACTTTTTTTAAAAAAAAAAAAAACACACACACACACACACCAGCTGTAGTGCTTCCTGAGGGAAACGCTACATCTGATTTTTTTTTTTCCAAAAAAATAATAAAAGCTGTACCACTTCCCCTTCTTTAAGGGAGAGCTACAGGAATTTTTTTAATAATAATTATAATTATAATCTACTTAAAGCCATCTCACCAGACTTGAAGCTCGAAGAAAAAAATGCACTAACGACCAAAATTTAAAATGGCGGCTGTGACCAAGCAAATAAAAGTTTTATCTAAATACATACATGCATTATGCGACCTCTAGCCTATGAACGTAACAAGCTCTATTATAATTTTCCTTCTCCCCCATGAGTTCTTTAATGCAAGCGAGCTCTATTTTAATTTTCCTTCTCTCCAATGAGTTCTTTGACATCTTTCTTCTTTCAGCTTCATCATACTGCATGCAATATAATGTTAATTAGATCATAAGCCAGGTCTCAAGCAAATGTAAGAAGCCAAATCAATGGGAATAAAAAACAGTGAATTTATGAAAACTGAACCAAAATAAGTTGATGTCCCTCACCACTCCCTCTTGTTTAGCTGCCCCAACGATTGCAAGCATAGTTCTTTCACCATCGTCTAACCATGCAACAAGGCATGGCCTATTTTAATAGATACAAAAAGCTTAGTTAACAAAACAAATCACAAAAATGTCAAGGGCACTAAGAAAAAGAAGTCATTATTCATAAAGAAATACAAACTTAACTCCGTAGTCTATTACATTTTAAGAAACCTAATACTCTATCAATTAAAAAACAAAAGTGGGAAAGAAAAGGAGAAGCATGATGTACTATTTTGTTAAAAAGGGTGAGGGTGCACATCGTATGCATGGCAATGTACCTTCAACCAATTGTGAGTCATCAAACATTCCATTTGACCCATTCTTTACATCAAACATTCCATTTGACCCATTCTTTACATCAAACATTCCATTTGACCCATTCTTTACCACTGTCTTAATATAGACATCACTGCAGAAGACAGCAAACAGCAAAATCCCCATGAAAAATAATTTAATAGAAAAAATACATAGACAATGAAGATTGGTAGAAATAGAATATGCTAGCCTCATAACATTCTTCAACAAATTGTCAAGCAAAGAAGCTTATAAAATACTAATATTACATTACTGTTTCCATTTAATTAAGAATCATACCGTAGCTTTTCCAAAGTTAGAGAAGCCCGGCCCACTGTGTTCTCTAACTAATTAATTAATTTAAAAGCATTAAAAAAAACTATTTCCAAAGTTAGAGAAGCCCACTGTGTTCTGCATCGCCAAAGAGATAGAAATTTGTCCTTCTATATGATCAGTATGATTGCAACCTTCGAACCACTGATTCAAACAAATTTGGTAGTATCACGGAACCAATTTATTAATGATCTGAAAAACTGATTGTCTAAGAACTTTTGAAGTACAATAAACAGAATACAATCACCTAATGGCTTAATTATTGCCCAGATCATAAATCAAGTGTTGATGAAGACCATTTAATCACAGCTTTCACAAATTAATAAAAATATTAAGAACTGTTAGCAGTAGTTGTGCAGTTTAGCATTAGCTCGATTGAATCATTAGGTGACTCCTACATCTATATGTAAGAGTTGAATTACTCTGTGAAAAATCTGAGTTTCTAAATATCCAATTGTAGTAACCATTACTCAATCTAATTGTCTCATTCTTTCTTAATCCCACGGATTATTATACCAAAGAAAGAAGTGGAAAAAGGAGAACATACTTGGCGTTCAAATTCTCTGCATTTGCAGGCAATTCCGCCATTGATGGTTAACCCCAGAAGTAAGAAATTTTTTGGAAATAAACAGAGCCTAACTGAAAAGGCAAAGCTGCATAGAAGAAACCCCCAACACAGCTGCAATCTATGCTAGTGCTATTGCTACCCAAAACTAATAAATGGCAATAAAGAAACAGACTCATCAAATCCACAGCATAAACAAGAAAATGACAAAATCCCTACCAAAATCTGTATACGAAAAACCCAAAACTGAAAGAAAGAGCATGTGCAATCTTTACAGAAAAAATGATGAGCAATAAGAAAATTGTTAGGGTTTTGAGTTTGAGAAACTGAACTAACCTCGAAAACCCTAGGATATGACCTTTGTCAAGTGGAACGCGCCGGTGTGGAGACCTCAAAATCGTTGCTCACGGCATGTGGAGACCTCGAAATCTCCCTGTGGTTGCTGATAGTAGGTAGATGGCGGGGAAGAGTGGGGAGTTTGAGATGGGGTGGGGACAAAGGGAAAAGTGGGGACGAAGGAAGGCGGTGGAGCCGAAGAGAGGAGTGAGGACGGTAGGCGGTGATTGGATGTGTTTTCTTCCTGTTTTGATGACTTAGTTAGGGTGTGTTTGGGTGAAACCAAACCGTAATTTAAAAAAGTGATTCTGAAAAATAGATTTTGAGAAGTGAGAGTGTTTGGATAATTATTACTAGAAACACTTTTTACATGTGAAAATTACCAAAAAGGGTATAAGTTAATATGATAATTATATAAAGGATAGATTTTATGATATATTTTAATTTGAAGAAATAAAATTGTGAATGAAAAACTTTTTACTAACATAATTAATAATATATAAGATAATATAATTAATACATAATTAATATGTGTATATATATTTATAAAACATAATAGTAAATATGTTTATAGACAAATGAATTTTTTTTTTGGCTAACAGAAAAATATTAATTTTCTTTAAAAATTTTAAACGTGAAATCCCATAACATTTTTTCACAACTACTTTTTATAATAACATACTACATGTATAATAACCTCTGTTGTTTAATACAATTAATTAATTAATTGTCACCACACATATATATTAATAAAATATAAAAGTGAAAATATTTTTAGAGAAGATGAATTATTTTGTTGCAAACAGAAAATCACGTGTTTTTCATGAAGATTATAAACATAAAATGGAATGATATTGTTTGATAAAATAGAATAAACACGTCTTAAAACAATTTATTAATTATTAAAGTAAGTAGTAATTAGTTTGAGAATATAAGGTCTAATATTAATAAAAGAAATATAAATAAAGAAGTGTAATAGGTTTATATAAGGTCTTAAAACAATTTATTAATCATTAAGATGATGCATCGATACAAAGCATTTGTAATAGGTTTTGTTTTTAACTACATATTACAATCTATGATAAAAGGAAATAAATAAGACATGACTACTATCATTGTATTGAATTAACAAGTTCGTCTCTTATGCTGTCACGAACCTGAGCCATGTAAGATGAAGATTGAATTGATGAATGTATACGTGAAAATCCAACCCCATCATCATCTTCTTCTGCATAAGTACCTTCTTCTTCCAACTGAACGAATCCAGGATCAGTAATAGATGTCGTTCTAATAAAATTATGTATAGCCATCGTTGCACAAACGATTTTAACTTGTGTTTCATAATCATAGGATGGCATGTTTTGTAAGATTGTGAACTTTTTTTTCCAAACTCCGAAAGTTCTTTCAATTGTACTCCTTAAACTTGAATGGAAATAATTAAAGACCTCATTGTCATTTTCAAAACCAGATGTCCTTCAAAAATCAGGCAGATGGTAACGCTCCCGTCTGTATGGGCTGAGATATCCATTCAATGTTGTGTATCCAGCATCCACCAAATAATATTTTCCTATATAAAAAATGAAATTATTGTAAATTATGTTTCTATTGTTAAGCTAAATATAAATAAAATGTAGGAAATAAAAAAATACCTTCAGGTGGATGGGGAAAGTTCATTGAAGGAGTTGTGAGGGCATAATCAAATATCCGAGCATCATGTGCGCTACCTTCCCATCCAGCCAAGACAAAAGTAAAACACATGTCCCAATCACAAACCGCCATGACATTTTGTGACACTGTTCCTTTCCTAGAGATAAATTTAGTTTGATTGTTGCACTAACAACGCAGGAAACATGTGTGCCATCAATTGCTCCAATAGCATGTTTAAAAAAAGGCCAATACTTACCAAACCGAATTTTTGTATGAACATGCCAGAATGTTGGATCTTTTGGTTTGATATTAGACATAGCAAGTCTACAACATGCCATTAGGACATTATGAAAATGTCTGCTAATTATCTCCCCTGAATGTTGAAATCTTTCTTGTTGCATTCTGCTACTAAGTGCATGGTCAACGGTATGTAAAAACATTGCAACTGATTCATGTAAACCTATATTTTTAGTTTCTTTTAGACCATGTTGTTGCAATTGTTCCACCAGACTTAAGAACACATCCTGTTCCATCCTAAACATGTTATAGCAACAACTGGGGTTGCCATCTAAAACATCCCTTACCCATAAGCAGCCTGTATAAGCACTTGTATGCCGAGGCTCTTTACACAAGTTCAAAGTAGCATATGCACCGACCAATGCTGCAACTTTGTTAACCCTTTTTTTTTCGTCCCTTAGCATGCTCTTCCACACATTTAATTTCAGCATCCATATTCGTTTTATCCTGTGCACATACACATAAAGTTTAGAATTCTTACGTAGAAATTACGAAACATTTATAAAAGTTACAGAGTTGTTTGATTCATATAACAACCCACTAGTCACATAAAACGATACACATATGGAACTATCTAATATAATAAACAAGTCATAAATCCCTAGTGTAAAACTCCAAAATAGGTAGAAGTTGTCCCTTCTGATCCTTCAGAGCTGCATACATTTCCCGTGCCTCCGGCCATTCCATAAGGAGTTGTGTGCACCGTCTAAAGAAATCAGGATCACTGACAACTTCAGGAACTATTTTAAGGTGAGACAGGACTCCCCTAATTGAAATCTCATAAGCACGCGCTTCTTCTTCCAACCTTCTAGCTTCTTCTTCCAACCTCCTAGCTTCTGCTCGTGAAATGACCTCATTTCCATGCTCGGCCTCAGAAATATTTGTTTCAACAATCTTGCTAAGTGCATCCGCTATTTTCATAGAGGGAGATGTGCGTTTCTTCTTGACTTCACTCTTCCTTCTGACCCCCAGTGAGCTACTAGGTTGACTCCTACCTCTGCTTGTACCCCCATCACTGTTATCCTGCCTCAATTCAGTGTTGCCTCCACTACCTCCACTATTATCATTGAAGTTCACTGTGTTAAATTCCCCACTTATACCAGTTGGTGCGCCTAAAATTTCATCACTATCTCCGGACCCTTCTTCCAAATCTTCATTCGGTGTTCCTTCACTTGGAAGTGTCATGGAAGAAGGTGCCCATGCTTGTGATCCAGTTGCAGCCACACTCCCGAACAGTTAAGTTAATTGATCCCTAAATTGAAGTCCTTTTTCTCTAAATTTTTCGTAGTTTGGAACTTCCTGCACATTAGACACCAATAATATCATAAAATATTCAAAAAACAGTAAATATGCACAAAACATTAACAGGCAGAGAAAATGTAAGATCAAAAGGTTCAATAATTACCTTTATTTTCCTCTCCCACTAATCATCAGTTGCACTGACAGTATTCCTTTCAGTATCCCATCCCAATCCTGTCTCGCGAAGCAGCCTATCCCATGTCTGCCACTCCTTTCATAGGGAATCATATTTATTCTTAAATTGAGATTTTTTATACACTCTCCCAGTTTTGGCAGTAAACTTATCACCATGAATATCCCAAGCTTTCTTTGTTAAGCTAGTACCTTTTCTTTCCCCTTGTTGCACAAGTTCAATGCACAGGTCAAGAAACACTTCAGTGGTTCTTAGATCCCAGGAAGCTTTCACTGTATCCTTACCCATTATGCTATAGCACAATTACAGCTCTTCAGTCATCACAAGTTAATCAACCCAAAATTATATGAAATAACAAAAATCATATTGTCTACTGCAATAGGTGAAAAAGTTGACTACATTTTAAATCTCAATTCCTTCCTACCAAACCAACTGCGACAAAAATTAACAAACACAAGAAAATTCTAATTTTAAATGGCCAGAAAAAAAATACACCCCTCCTATTCGAAACTTCATTATCTGTTTTTGTTTGAAAATACTAACTTGTAAAACGTCAAAACTAACTAAATAATTATATATATATTTTCCTTTTCTTAACTATTGTATAAAGAGGATTGGAAGACAAAATAATAAGAAAAATCATATTTGAACCATCATGCACCATAAATCATATTGTAATCAACTTTTGCAACAACTGTGTATTACAAATAATTTTCAAAAAAATTCGTTCATGTGTGTAATTAATACAAATATTCATGATGAATGCAATTATTGGATTTGTCAACTGAAAATATAAAACACTAGCAATATAAACCTCTAACCAAAATACAAATCACTTCTTTCAATATATACATGGATTTGAGTTGTGATTCTATTTGTCCTCACTCTCAAAAGTTTGCCATAAATTTATCAAAGTCCTTAATACAACAATACAGGACAACACATTCAAAATCACATTCCAAAAAAAATACAATGTCCCAATATATTATTCAACTTCACAGGCTTCTTCTAGGGGGAATTCGGACAGGAAAAAGGGATCCCACGCCATGCAACCAGAGCAAAAAGAATTTGCATTTTATATACCCAGTGGAATTCAATTCACAGGCTTTCTTGTCTCCAAAACAATATCACCAAATATATTCCCTGCCTCCAGAACCACATTACGTTTCATAAAAAAATCATACTACTATGAAAGCAAGCAATAATATCTCATTCCTTCTATCAACATGCCGGTCATGAAACAAATTCAAAAACGAAAGTGGGAGGAAGTTTCCAAAATCTTTCGGTTTACCACAGGGAAAATACTGAAGCCAACATAAAATTTTTTTTGTCACCGGAGATAGCTTACCTAACCAACCAAGCTCTACACGGTAACCTGACCAATTGCTCTGCATGGTGACCTGACTGGGCGAACTACCGAGGTAAGAGATCGGACAACCCAACGCGCCAAATTCAAAGCCTCCACGATCTCACCGGTGTACAAATATCAGAGCAGTGACGGCGAAAGAAGGGGGAAGAGGTAAGCTGATGAAGCTAAGAGATGAGCTGAGTGAAGATCGACAGTGAAATGTAGAGTAGCGACGCCAAAGTCAAGAGCGAAGAGGAGAGCAGGCAAGTTGGGTGAAGAGAGGCGAGCAGCAATGGCAAAGTGAAGAGCGACGGTGAAATTCGGAGCAGCTACACGAGAAGAGCGAACCGGTGAGCAGAGAAAGAGGCGAGCTTCCTCTGATGAAGGCGCAAGCAGAGCGAGAAGAACCCCAGTCCAAAGTGTCGGCCAGCGCTGCAGGGTATTTTTGGGTCAGCCATTGCCTTCAATTATTAGAGCCAGAAGCGAAAATTTCTTGCTTCTGGTG